AGAATTATCCGCAGCGCGATGAGTTGTCCTACTAAGGTCTCCTGAGGTCTTCGGGTTCTATTTTCCAAGAGTTTAGACTCTGCTCATCTAGTAGCGATTACTTTACATAGATAGTCGCAGTAAAAACTTGCTTCTCCAGTCGTCTAATATTTTGTTATATTCCAACTATACTGAGTGCTGTTTGCGTAGATTCCGATATCCAACGCGTTTTCTGCTTAGTTTCGGTAGATATTTATGAAGCGTAGAACTGAGAATAGAAAATCTGCACTCTCACCTTTTCCTTTTGAAATTCAAGGCGAAGGTCTAGAAACAAAACTGCAATTATCTTGCACATTCGCTATTAAGAGCTGCTGTCGAAAGCTTCCCTTCCATTTACTGAATGACTAATAAAAGCAACGAAAAAGGGCACTGTCTGGTTAATCCCATTATGTATAATTAAGGTTATATAAGGCAGTGAAGATAGTCCTGACGGTTTTCAACTTAGGCTTTCAAGTGCTCATATCTCAGCTCAAACAAACTTCATCAATCGGAATATGGACCATACTTAATACTACTACCAACGGGGAGAAGCTTGTTCATTAGGGTTGCATAGAAGTCTAGAGGTCTGTAAAGGGATATAGTCTGTTGCTTATCAATCTTTTTGTTGGGGATGTGGCACGACATTCACCACTTCCTTTCAGATCAGGTAGTAGATTGAGTTGGAACGACGGATGCGGGTCCTTTACCAATGAGCCATAGAGTTATGGGGCAGGCAAGCGATGTACAAAGAAAACAATACATTGCAAATGCAAAGAAAATCGCACGGAATAGTTGATAAAGTGAATAGTTGAAGCTAATTGAAGGCGGTTCGAAAACAAGGAGATAGCCTTAGCTCTCAGTGTTGCACATCCCTAGACGGAAGCCGAGCAAAAGCAACAAGACCCCTTTCTATCCTCCCAGAGGAATCTGGTATCAATTTGCCATTCGCGTAGAATCCCGGGTCGAATTCCTGGGCGGTAGTCGACACGGGATTCCAACTCATGACCATGCGAGTGGGAAGCGACCACCACTTTTCACTACACCACTTTCGCCTCGACAGAAGCCTACAGGCGGTGAAATCAGTGAATGTTGCTGCAAAATGCTGTCTTTTGAAGCATTTTTCCCTGAGGAAAGCTTTTCTGTCGAGATGCTGTAAGGAATTATAGAAACCATTCCAGCCTATTCTGATAAGTGGGTGCAGTAGTGTTTTGTAGCCTACTCGTTCAATCTAGCGCGTGTTGTGTCATGTTAGGCTAAGCGCTGTTGTGGAGTACAATCGGCTTCTTCCTGTTGACCAGTGGTGGGCCCACGAGCTGAAGTTTACGACGCAGCTCATGAATTTCGTGGCAGTACTTCTTGGCTGTGATGGCCTCACCCAGATTTGTGAAGCCGTGTTGAATCAGGGCAGCTACAGGCCTACATAACCATTGTTAAAAACCTTTGTGCTTTTTCCGTTGCTGTTTGGCTGGAGAAATGTTAAAGAGCTTGGATCCTGTGCAGCCGGTGGCCAGATCATCTTCGTCGTTACAACACCATCTAGTAAAGGATTGTTACTGTAGCGTAGGACAGGGCGGAGGAGATCTCAGAGCGACCGGCTTCCAGTTGCCAGGCTCGCGACCGAGAGACTTTCACCTACTGGGAATAGGTGAAACCCGTCCTGCTTGAAATACTCTGTATCGATTGGATGGCCTTTGAGGTTTCTCTTCAAGTAAATCGGCATTCTACTTGACTAATGCTCTCAAACTTGTTCGACTCGTCAACATCGTTCGCCGCTTATCACGCACATCGTCTCGTCAACGATCTCATCGCCGCTGCAAAATTTCTCCGACCGCCAATGCACAGTACGCTCAATTGTTGTTTCAGGCCAAAAGGTTACTCCGGTACGCCGAGTTACTTCCGCAGTTTTTCTGCTCAGTTTAGCTTGGACTAAAAAAATTGTGCGAATCTGTCTTCTGTCCTTTGTATAACATCTGGCTACCTGAAAAAAAACTAGCAAAGTTTCTTCAAATCAAAACTGTTCAAGCCATTAGATGCAGTTGTGACAGGCCTCAACTCGCTCCTTCATGTAGTCAATAGTGCGGCGGTGGTAGTCAACGTCTAAATTCACCCGTATTTTCGGAAATCGTTATTTTACAAAATCATAAGACATTTGACATTTGGCTCCTTATGTAGTTGCTGCTCCATGAGGCCCTATATGCAATCCTAAAGAATCCAGGTCCAGGCTGCTAGAAGGTTCCTCCCTGAGGACAGAATCATTTTAGGGTCAAAGGAAGCAGTGGCTGTGCAAGCTAACGGCTCAAAGTTCTGCAAGAAGATAAAATTAGGCTAATTCTGTCCCCAAAATGAATATTTTGATCTCAGCAAATGCGCAGAATTGCTTTGAATAACGTTTATAGGCAGTTGTCACGATAAATCTCCTAGGACTAATACGCCTAGCAGGACTGAATTCGGCGCCACTGTGCAAGTACTACGTGGTGCCTTTTCCGAAGAAGGTTCCCCTATAGCGCCCTAACATTACGTAACATACCGACCAGAGCACCCACCGCGCCCACCCGCCCACAAATGTCCGACCGGTCTTGATGCTCGTATCGCTTCATTTGCGGAGTAGAATATGAGGCGAAGGGATTGATGTGAAGCTGGCTGCGGTGCTGCATGAATATATGAGTACATACATGCAGCCGTATCTACCGTAGCGTTACTGGCACGATGCCAACGGGAAACTCGTCCGAAATTGCTTTCTGAGTCGCGTAGGACAAGGCTTTTTTTGCAGGTTTTTGACCGTTTCGCTTCGTTTTTTCGCCATTTCCCACCATTTAGCACCTCTGCTGCCATTTTAGCAAGAGTGCCAAGTTACCGTGCCTGCCTTTATGGAATAAGGTACCATGCGCAAGTGATTTTTCGCCACCCTGTGTATTCCAAACCCGTGGAATCCGACAGGCGTGGTTAGTTCCTTCATATGAATAAGGCGGCGGTTGCACTTTTGGTGAGATATTTTCATTTCGGGGCAATTCAGCAATTTCTTTGGGAAGATGACAGGGTTTTAGATCGAAATATACCACAAATAGTTCATCCTACGCCACGTTCAGTTTTTGTACGCAGCCACACCTACCACGTCTTAGGGATGAGGGGTTCCATAAGTTGCTTTAGGTCGCCCGGCTCGTGAGAAATTCCTGGTGAAATCTGAGAGCTGTTGTGGAAAACGAAAGGCTCGACTTGCTCCAAGTGAGCTTATGAGAGACGTGGATATGACGAAAGAGCTTGTATTTCAATCGCTGCAGTGTAATTGTGTAATTGCCGCTATGGGCGGGGTCTGTTAAGGAGTCGGGGTAGACATGTGTAACGCATATTCATGACGTACTTAGGTTCTTGTCTATCACATAACTGCTTACTTATACCTGCCGGTCAGCAGACCACAGTTGGTTTTCCCTGGTTGTCTATCCATTCGTTTGTTTACGGGGAGTTCCAATTCCGCAATTATCCTCAACTTCTGCCACATTTCGTTCATTCAGTGAGAACCGCTTTCGACACCGCTCTTACTGGCGACTTGCCAAAATCTATTTATGTGGGCGTTCTATTCGTCATTGAGTTTTTCATCTGAAAGTTCCGCTATCCATCTAGGAATGCCTCTTTGACTCCGAGTGCTGCATTTCCAATGATGGTAACGGGAAATAGCTTAGGCATGAGAAATGGAACTCGCCATCGAAATATTCGAAGTATTCCAATACTTCCATTCAATACTCCACATTACTTTACACAATACTTTGGTACTACTTTTCCTACTCCGTTGGATAATGAAATGGTCATAGTCGCTCAATAATCCAAAAATAGAGCCTCTACTCGTCATTTAGAAGGTGACTACGGTTCCAGTTGCTGTTGGTCCTCCATAAAGGCTATTGAAATTACTGAACTAACATTACAGAGCTTCTAAGTGATGTAACTATGTAGCTGCACTAAAATTAGCGAGCATGAACTAATGGGAGACGAGCAAGAGTTACTCAAGACCGCTAGAAACCTGGGCACACCATCGTTACGAGGGTGAAGATGTTGTGAACCGTGTACCTAAGCAGGTCATGTGTTGCGCATTTCGTTATAAATGGTGCGCTCAACGCGACTTAGCAAAGCTCAACTGTCCGTTGATCTCGCCAAGAGCTTTTGCCCCTCCCCCGGATAACACCACAGCCAGTGATTTCAACACTCTTGTTCGCTGCGGATATCGGGCATGTCAGGGGGAGGCTGGGTTTGGCGCGCCGCCAGCCCGTTCTCCATCAGTTTCTGATGTTGTCGCCTTAAGAAAGAGAGCAAGAAAGATACTGCCTCCACGCTTGACCCATCCTGACACGCCCCGTCATCCGCAGCGACCTTACTTACTGCCTTTGACTGGATTGTAGAGGCCTTCAAAATGGATAGTTCAAAGGCAGATGTGTTAAATGGTGGGGAAATGGTGAAAAAACGACGTGGAGGTTATAAATCTACAACGAAAAGCCTTCGCTCTACGCGGCTCCGAAAGCAATTTCGGATGAGTTTTCCGCTGGCATCGTGCCAATAACCGCTACCGCACCGCATGAATGTGCTTATATATCCATGCAGCAGCGCAGCCTCTTCATATCAATCCTTTCGCCTCATATTTAACTTCGCAAGTGAAGCAATGCAAGCATCAGGATCGGTCGGACAACTGTGGGCGGGCGCGGTGGGTGTATATGTCGGTATGCTGCAGCTTGATAGGACGCTATAAGGGTAAAGGCACCACGCAGCGCTTGCTCAGGGGTGCCGACTTCAGTCCTGCTAGGTGTATTAGTCGTACACATCTTGGAGATTTATCGGGCGCTGTTCGGTGACGGGG